TTTTTTTTTTTTTTTAAAGAATTATTTTTTTAATTTTATTTTTAATTTGAACAGAGAGGGACCGAGTGAGAAAGAGACAGGTCAGGGACTCAAACCACAGCCAGCCATGTGGAAGTCCAGCACCCTTAACCACCACACCACCTGCCAGCCCCTATTATAATTTTGGGTTTTTTTTAAACTTGATCAGAGATATACACAGTGAGAAAGAGAAAAGTGAGAAAGCAAACCGTTGGGTCCAGAACTTGAACCGCAGTCAGCCATGTGGGAGTCCAGCACCTCAACAACCACACCACCTGCTAGTCCCCATAATGGGACATTTTAAAGTGTTGTTAGCTAAAGATAAACAACCTTAAGTGTAAGAGCATCTGACCTTATGACAATTTTCTTCTTAGTTTTACTATAGGGTATGGGTGCCCACTAGAGAGATAAAGTGAGAAATCAACCCCCAGGGGGATGGCCATGCCACAGTCCCTTCTCCAATCTCCTTTTGAGATTTTTAGACACAAACCCATTCAACTTCAACACTACAGACCTTGTGTCACTGCTGTGCCACCTATTTCTATTCCACCAGCTCTGGCCACTAGGAATTAACAAGGCCTACAGAAATCTGATGGCTTTGCTGGGCCCTTCTATGGAAATAGCCACACCTAGCAACTGAGGAAGGCCTATGCTCAGTCATTTTGCTACAACTATGAGGCTTATCCTGAAGCCAGAAGAAAATTCCAAGCCCTTGGGCTTCTAGGGTCTATGACACAGGCTACAAATAGAATCAACACCCGACAGTTACTTATGGTTTATCTCTTTATTGTTTCTCCTTTTATCAAAACCTGTCACAGCTTGGGGCCAAGAGGAAGTAAAAAAATTCCCACAAATATTCCCCTTGGTTCCCCATTAGTCCTCCCCTTCCCCCCTACCCAGGGTTTCAGGCCTACCCTGGGTACACATGATCATCTTCTCCTACCCTCAGCCTTCTCCCAGCAATAAATACAGGTGACCGTGATTCAGTGAAACCACAACTGATTTCTCCATCTTGAATGCCCCTCAAGGGGACAAGAAGGGGGCAAAAGAAGTTTAACCCATCCCTTCTTACTAAGGCATGAAAACTTCTTTTCCCCAAGGGTCAGGGGAGGTAGAACTGCCCCTGTCAGAACTGCAGCAGCCTGAGAAGGAATCAGGGGGAGGACAAGGTTGGATGAGACAGAAGAGGATGTTCTCCAGCAATCTCACTCCTTTGATCCATTCATCCCTTAACAAGTAAGGGCTGGTCCCAGTGTATCAGCCAGATATAAAACAGAGAGGGCTGACAGGGCAGAGCCAGGAGGAAGAAATTAAAGGAGGGAGAGCAGTTTGGTGGGCGGCAAGTGGAAGGAGAAAAGGATCCTGAAGTTCAGTGCTCTCATCTTCTTCCAAGAGATGGCATCAACACACAAGAGGCATGAATGAATAGGGTCTGGGGAACATTTAGGGCCCTCAAAGAAAGGACAGAGAAGGGGAGGCAAGGACCCTTTGTTCCCCAGGTATTCACAAGTGTAGTGCTCCAGTTAGAGCAACAGGATATTGGGGGGGGGGGGATGAGAGGAAAAAGGCTTGGTATCAATGGAGGAGAAAGGTCAGGAGATCACAAGAGGAATTTGGAGTCAAGGGATGGACTCCTCATCCTGTCTGGATGTTGGCAGAATCTGAGTCTTGGGATAAGAAAGGTGAAGTCTGGGGAGGGTTAAATCCCAAGGCAGAAGAAAGAATAACGCTCACCACCACTCCGACCCTCCCCTCAACCCTAATATCCCTTGGGTTATCGCAGGTGAATACTCCAGTCAGATGCCACGTTGACGCCAGGTTTGCGCAGGATCAACACAGAGGTCTCAGGGTCATGCTGGAAGGACAGACGGCTTTCAGGAGATCCTGGGTGAAGAATAAGCGACAGGAAATTGGGGGGGGGGGGATGAGAGGAAAAAGGCTTGGTATCAATGGAGGAGAAAGGTCAGGAGATCACAAGAGGAATTTGGAGTCAAGGGATGGACTCCTCATCCTGTCTGGATGTTGGCAGAATCTGAGTCTTGGGATAAGAAAGGTGAAGTCTGGGGAGGGTTAAATCCCAAGGCAGAAGAAAGAATAACGCTCACCACCACTCCGACCCTCCCCTCAACCCTAATATCCCTTGGGTTATCGCAGGTGAATACTCCAGTCAGATGCCACGTTGACGCCAGGTTTGCGCAGGATCAACACAGAGGTCTCAGGGTCATGCTGGAAGGACAGACGGCTTTCAGGAGATCCTGGGTGAAGAATAAAGAATGTCATTTGCAATAGGCTGTAGCATAGCAACTTAGCTACAGAGAACGCTGTCATCAATCCTGCCCCTGCCTTCCCTTTGTCCCCATCCTGGGAACCAAAACAAGTCACTCACCTTTCGTCTGGAGTACCACAGATGCTGGCTTTCCAGCCCCTATTATTACCACTCGCTCAATCCACACTGGTGTCTCAAAGTGGCCTTTGGGATCTGCTGAGCTAAAGGTGGCAAAAGCACATGCACATCAGGGGGTGGGGGGAATGTCAGGGCAGAGAGGAGGAGGAGATTCAAAGCAAGGTCAGAAAAAGCACAGTGAACTGTATGCACCCCCAAGGCCCAGCCCCCACCAGAAGCAGCCAGGAAAATGGCTACCCCATTACCTAGAGACAAGGGTGTTTCCAGAGAATGAGAATCGACGCAGCAGGAACTCATGGCGAGTCTGATAGTTGAATGTGTGCCCATCATCCAAAAAGAGCTCTCCTTGGGCTGTACCCTGAGTAGGAAGTAGGACAGATGAACACTCGAGCCCAAAAGAGGAGCACATCCCCAGGAAAGAGTTCTAGGGAATTTGGCAGATGGTTGAGGACTCTCCCAGCCTGTACACTCACCTGGGGGCTGAGTGCAACAAAGAGAGTGATAGGGTCATTCTTCATACAGTCTGAAGAACGCCGCACGCGCATCCATCGAGGCACGACTGTCCCTCCACGTTGGAACACAGGGATCTGGAGAAAGAGCAGTACTGGCATGAAGTTGCCCCTTGTTCAGCCCTGGACCCCACAGTATCTTTTGCTCTTGGCCATCTGTGCCCACTTAGGTCCCAGACCCCAAAGCACACATTCTCTCTCCCCTTCTGGAAACAGGTAGGTAGGTGGAGCTGGCAGCTGGGCCAGGAATACTCACACTGCTTAGAGTTACAGGCAGGTACAGGGTCTGGGGACCATGATATTTCTGATAGCTTTGAATGTCGTACCATACCTGTGGGTGACAGAGGTGATAAGATACTAGAACACTCAGTGCATGAAGGGCCCTGTCCGGTTTGCCTTCTATGGATTC